TCCCGGATTGATGAGACAACCCAAAGCAGATTATGGATGCAGGGCACGGTGTTTGTAGAGCGACCGAATGGGTAAAAGCATGTGTTTGCCCATTGTGACATTGCTATTTGTATTCGTTGCACACTACTTGGCGTCACTGCTCGCTGTACATGGTCAAACCAGTCATGATCTTCAGCCTCGCGGGAGTGGGAATGGCATGACTGCAAAGGCTTGCCCCGCTGTGCCTCCCACTGGTGTGGAATGTGTGTCGCCTAGAGGCTTTCCAGGTAGCTGGCACGGCTGAGCATCGCACACACCGCCTCCCTTCAAAGGGGCGCGCGGCATGACAAGACACCCGCGGCAATTGTCTGCATCCTCGGCGTGGTTTGAAGCTTCTCTTGCCTGCTCAGCTCTGGCCCCCCTTTCCGATTGCAGTCACGACGAGGGATAGGTGGCAGATTCCTTCAATGGTGCTGGTTGAGGGAGGAGGAGGAGGAGGAGGAGGAGGAGGAGGAGGAGGAGGAGGAGGAGGAGGAGGAGGAGGAGGAGGAGGAGGACGAGGAGGACGAGGAGGAGGAGGAGGAGGAGGAGGAGGAGAGGAGGAGGAGGAGTTCGGATCCAGAGCGTTCCGGAACGCTCTCCGAGCGTTCCGGAACGCTCCGACCGCGGCGCACCATTACATCCTCCAACGCCGCCGCTTCTCAGAGATTTCCGATTCACATCGGTCCGATAGCGAAGGCCTCACGGCTGGTGCCGCCGACCCTGAAGGAGTTTACGTCGACGAGGACGGCGGCAGCGGCGGCGGCGACGACGACGTTGTTGACGTGGGCCCGAGTCCTCAGGAATGCTTCTTCGGGTCTCTTGGCAAGGCTCTCGGGGTCCTCTGGGGACGAATCTTAGGGTCTATTGGGGGAGCCTCTTAAAAGGGCCTCTTGGAAGCCTTTTCGGGCGTCCAGGGGGCCAGTTGTGGGCTTCTCGGGGACTTTTAGGAGCCTCTTGGGGCCTCCTGGGAGCTTCTCAGGGCCGAGGGCTCGAAATGTCCGTCCGGGTTCCCTGTCAAGGCACGCTCTTGAAGCCGTTTTGGAGGCCTCTTGGGCCATCTTGGAGGCGTGTTGGGCTATCTTGGGGTTCTCTTGGGATGTTTTGGCGCGCTCTTGGAAGCCTCTGGGGCCGTCTTAGGGAGATGTTGAGGGCCTCATCGGCAGTCTTGGAGCGGCGGGAAGCGGACAAGGCGAGAACGCCCAAATCTGTCGAAAACCTATGGGAAATCAATGATTGTTGCCTCATGGGGCCCTCTCCGGAGTGCCTTTGGAGGCCTCCTGGACCATCTTGGAGTCGTTTTGGGTTGTCTTCGGGTTCTCTTGGGATGTTTTGGCGCGCTCGAGGAAGCCCCTGGGGCCGTCTTGGGGCGATCTTGAGGGCCTCATCGGCCGTCTTGGAGCGGCGGGAAGCAGAAAAGGAGAGAACGCCCAAATCTGTCGAAAACCTCTTGCGGCCTTTGGCGGCCCTCTAGGGAGCGCCTTTGGAGGCCTCTTGGGGCGTCTTGGGGGTCTCATGGGCAGTCTGGGAGCTCGAAGGCGTGTTGGACCGACCGTTTGGCGATAGGAGGCCCTCTTGGACTGTCTCTGGGACCTCTTGGGGCACTCTTCGCTTGTTTTGGTATTTTCTGCAGCCCCGAGACCTCCAGGGGGGGATGCGTGGACCCTCCCCCCCCCCCCTCTCGGACCCCCCCCCTACCCCGTCCCCCCCTGTGACACCCCCCCCCTCTCCCCGACGGGGGGAAGGGATCAAAGGGAAGGGGCGCCCCTTCGATTCGATCAAGACACTGCGACGCGGCAGGCTGGAGGAGGGCACGCGCAGGGAAGGGATGGCGACGCAGACGGCGACTGGCGGAGACGACGACTCGCACAGGCAAACCCCTCGCAGACGGCGACAGGGCTTAGTTGCCTCGATACGCCGGTTTTGAAACGCAACACGTCCCATGTTCAAGACGTCCGTGTCAATACGTTGCGTGTTGGCCCCACGTATTGGCCCACGTTTTGGCGAACGTATCGCGTCGGACCTACGTTTTCAGTCCACGTGTTGAGCTCCGTATCAATACGCTACGTGTCGTGTGTTACGTATCGGGGCAGCTAAGCGACAGGGTCGGCGGATTGTGTCTCGATTCTGCGCTCGTCGCAGGTGGGTGGCAGATTCCTGCCAGGGGCGACAGGGAGGGGAGGAATCGGGGAGTGAGGGGAGGAACTGCAGGAGGCGCAGAGGAGCGACGGAGGAGACGGGGAGGGAGGGAAGGGGAGGCAAGGGCGAAGAGGGAAGATGTGCAGGGCAGGGGATGGGCAGGGTGCACGGTCCTCTTCATCCTCCCACCTCCCAGGCGGGAAAGTAGGCGCGCACACACACACACACACACACACACACACACACACACACACACACACACACACACACACACACACACAAACACGCCATCAAACGTGACCGCCATGAGGATCTGTAAGGAAATCTAGGACATGGAAGGAGGGAAAAACGGAACTTCCAGGAAAGATTGACAATCATCCTTGGATGCTGGAACTTGAGTCGACGTATTTGTGATTCCCTGGGCCCCTTTAACCTCCTCCCCCCCCTCCCTCCTCACCAGTACCTTCCCCCACCTCTCGTCCCCAGACGCTCGGCGTCTCCACCAACTCTTCTCCTCCCCCCCCCTCCCTCCCCATCATCACCTTCCCCCACCTCTCGTCCTCCTACGCTCGCCGTCTCCACCAACTCCTCCCCTCCCCCCCTCCCTCCTTCCCAGCGAGCGACCACGGCGGTGAGACCGATCGTGAGCGGGAGCTCGAGTTGTGACCGAGGCCTGACATCGCATGTTTAGGGCCAACCCATACCATCCCATCCCAGCCCATGCCCTACCCCATCGCACCTTCCTCCGCCCCTCGTCCCCAGACGCTCGTCGCCTCCACCAGCTCCAGCTCCTCCCCTCCCCTCCCATGCCTCCCTCCCTCCAGCGATGCAGGGGGAGGGAGGAGGAGCCGCTCCTCCTCCTCCTCCTCCTCCTCCTCCTCCTCCTCCTCCTCCTCCTCCTCCTCCTCCTCCTCCTCCTCCTCCCTCCTCCTTCTCGGGCCTGGAGAGCCACGCGCGCGCCGCCGCCGCCGCCTCCCAGGCCCCGGCAGGGCGCGCGAGGCTTCAAAAACAATAAAAAAAAACCGCGCGCGCCGTCCGCAGAAAGAGGCCGGCCCCCAGCTGGCGGCGGAGCCCATCGAGGTGGCCCAGCGTGGGGGGGGGGGCGGGCGGACCCGGAGGGGGGCGGCTCAGGGGCAGCGCTGCGGGCGCTGTGTGTGGGCAGGGGGGGTGGGCGGGGGGCGAGAAATGGCTTGGCATCGTCTTGGCGTGTGCATGTTTTCGGCGAGGGCCATCGAGGATCATCCTGGAGCATCTGGCCCCAAAAAAAGCACGCAGGAATCCCCAAAAACGCGCGGGGAATAAAGGATGGACGTCCGAGCGATGCCATGATGGGGGGGGGGAGGAGAACGGTGCCCTAAAAGGGCCCCAAAAGGGCACGAAAATTCGGATGCAACTCCTGGGAGGTCAAATTCTGATTTTGCCCTGGTCCCAAATCCGGCTTAATCCCGCTTAATCCCGCTTAATCCCGCTTGATGCTGCTTAGTCCGAGGCCCATTCCGGCGTAACAGCTCCCAAATGGGGCTTAATCTTTTTAATTCTTCCGACGAAAACCTCCCAGTAGTTGCCTCCTAGCGAAAGGTTAATCGTCCCTCAGAAAATATGGGAACATATGGGAAGTGGGGGGAGACAAAACCCCAGAAAACATGGGGAAATATGGGGATTCCTGTTATTTGTGTGTACTTATGTGTGTGCCCCAGGGCCCATTCAATATAGTGCTCTATTGAGTATGTTTGATTATTTGTTCGACATCTACTGCGTTTCTTCCAGAGGCCGCCTGCAGGAGGACACGCCCGACCTCCGCACAGCGTGTCGCCCGGGCCGCGGCCGCAGCAGGCGGAGCAAACGTTCCCGGCCGTAGGGTGGGGGACGGGCTCAGGGGCCCACCGAGCGGTGAGGTGGCACCGCTAGGTGACACGGGCGGTGGGGACGATCTTGGCACGCATGTCCATGTGGCGCCGTCGTCGTGGGGTGGCCGTTGCCCTGGAATGTCGGGTGCCGCAGCTGGTGTCGGCACCCAGGTTAGGCTGTTTGAGGTCGGGGGGGGGGGGGGGGGGGGGGGGGGGGGGGGGGGGGGGTGGGGGAAGTATCGACCCGAATCGACCCGCAGTCGCTCGTTCCTCGCCGGCGAGGGCCCGACAGCCCACCCCGATCGGGAACGTGCGGATTCGCAAAATCGGCGGCCTCTCGGCGAGATGTGTCGCCAGCTCCGGGTGGAGGCTGCCCCCCCAGGAGCTGGTCCCCCCCTGGCGTGCCCCATCCTCGTGCTCCTCTCCCTTGGCATCGCTCGGACGTGTGCATTTTTCTTTCGGCGAGGACCATCGAGGAGCATCCTTGATCATTTGGCGAAAAAAACACGCACGAAACCACAACAAAAACACAGGGAATGGACGTCCGAGCGATGGCCAGCTCCTGCTCCGGCTTTCGGCAGGTGGACTGCTCCGCGTTGTCTGGGATGGGTCCCGCTGGATCGGTCAGCTGGCCGAGGGTAGTGATCGGGGTCGGGCTCAGGATCGGCAGGGACCATGAGGAGGAGGAGGAGGAGGAGGAGGAGAAGGAGGAGGAGAAGGAGGAGGGCGATGGGCGATGAAGAATGCCAGTGGGACACCAGGCAGGTCTTGGCAAGGACAAGGCCAGCTTTCGTTCAGTGAGTCTGGCCTTTCTCTTCCACTGACAGAGTGATGTGCGGGGGGATCCTGAGCCGCATAGGCCAGTCGTGGCAGAAAATGAAGCCCAGCGTCCACTGATGCCGTGCCCTTGCCATCTTATCTGGTGTATTTCTGTCGCTTGCCTTCTTTTATCCCCTGTTCGGGCTTGCCCCGTGCCCCCAGGGCCAAGTCGAGGAGATGCTGAATTCAAGATCGGAGGCGCCCCGGGTGGCCTCGAGGCGCAGCATCTGAGTGAAGGCAGGTGGGCTCGCAGGAGTCGAGGCGAGAGGGACGGAGCAGGCACGGCCCCGTGCAGCAGGGAGCTCCCCCGCGCCCACTCCCTTCCCTGCAGAAGGAGGGGCGAGGGAGAGAGACGGGAAGAGCAGGGGGCGGTGGAAGAGGGAGGAGGGAGGACGGGAGAGAAAAAGGAGAGGAGGGCGAGGGGAAGAGGCTGACGTGGCCGAGGGGCAGCCCTCCCAGCCTCGTCCACGGCCGACGCCGCGCCATCCAAACCCTCCCTGCACCGCGCTGTGCTCTCTGGGGCGCCCGGGGGCCCTCTCTCTCTCTCTTCGTGGCCGCGGCCGTGGCCGTGGTCGTCGGGCCCCCCTGAGGCCCTGACCTCGACGGTTGGCCGTCGGGCCCCTGGCCCTGCCCCCCCCCCCCCCCCTCCTCGCCCCCCCCCCCCCCCCCCTTCTCCCCGCCCCCGGCCCCGGGGCGCCCTCCCCCCCCCCCAGCCCAGGCCCAGCCCCCCCCCCGCCCCCGGCCCCGGCGCCCTGCCCCCCCCCCCCATCCCCCCCCCGGCCCAGGCCCTCTCTCCCCCTTGGCTTCTCCCAGGGTCGGGGGCGGAAAAGCGGGGGGTGATGACTATAGGGGGGGTGGATATCATGGCGGGGGCCATGATATTTCTCCAGATTTTTCATGGCGCCCCTTCTTATTTCATTACGTCCCTGGCCCCCCCGCTGGGCCGCGCACATGCCGCCGGTCATGATTTGCACCCCCCCCCCCTCTTGGACACCCCCCTCTTGGCCGCTCCCGACAGGGGGGTCCCCCCCCCGGTCCTCGGAGCCGTGGGCTCGGGCCACTTGAGCGCGGCCCCTCGCAGCAGAGCTGTGGTTCTCGGCATGCAGCGTGGCCGCTGCGGGGTCGCTGCCTGGGCAGTGCGCAGCAGTGCTCTGCCCTGACCTTCCAGGAGGGCTAAAAAATAGCACCCGACCTAAAAACCTATCCCAAAGCTATTCTACGTCTTGGTTTTAGGCTGTTTCGCTCCGCTTTTTAGGTTTTTAGGTCTCCAGTGCTAAAAAATAGCTCTCTGGAAGGTCAGGGTGGAGCTCGGAGCCTTCCACTGTCGTGGCTCGTTGGGTGGTCGGATGCTCGGTTGGCTCGTTGGTTCGTCCTCCCTGCCTGGCTCGGCCCTGGTTCGGGCCCTCTCCCCTGGCTCCAACCCCCCCCCGCCCGGCCCCAGGCCCCCCCCCAGCCCAGGCCTTCTCCCCTGACTTCCCCCTGGTTCTCCCACAGGCCCTCGGAGCCGTAAACTCGACCAATCCAGAAGTGCAGCCTTGTGGCAAAATTGTATCACAGCAGCGTGGCCTATATCGGGTCGCTGCCTGGGCCATGCACGGCTGTCTTCCAGAGCTCGGACCTTCAGTGTTCGTTGTTCGTTGATTGGTTGGGTGGTTCGTTCATTGGATCGTCGGTTCGTTCGTCCGTTCGGCTCAGCTCCGGGCACCCCGTCCAGGCCTTCGCACAGGCCCGTGCACGGCTGTGCTCTGGAGCTCGGAGCCCTTGATTCAGGTGGCTTGCGCCGATCCGCCGACCCGAGAAGAATCGGCGGCGAACGAGGGAGGGGCATGAGCAGGAGAAGGACTTCTCAGAAGGCGGCGGGACTTCGCAGAAGCCCTCGCGCCTTCTGAGAGGTCATTCGTGCCTTCGGGGAAGCCCTCGCGCCTTCTGAGGAGGCCCGCCCCTTCTCACTTCCCTCCAGGTCTCCCGGTCTCGCCGCCGAGACGAGTCAGAGCTTGCGACGATCGTGGAAGTTCTCTAGTGGCCTTCGGCCCCACCGGCCACCGTGCCTGGGCTGTGGGTCAGCAGCCTCTTGGGAAAATCTGGGCGTCTCTTGGGATGCCTCCCAGAGCCTCTTGCAGGTCTACTGGGTGCATCTGGGAGGCTTGTTGGGGCTCGTGGGGGCCTCTGGAGAGCTTCTTGGGGGCGTCTTAGAGGGCGTTTGGGGACTCTTGGGGACCTCATCGGCCGTGATGTGACGATATTTGGGGTCTCTTGGGGAGTCCTAGAATCTGTCAATACGAAGATGGCGAGTGTGCTGAAAAAGCATTTTTTCTTAACGGAATGTGCAGAGATGTTTGCCTCCTGGGGCCTTCTCGGCGGTCCTCTGCAAACACCTTTGGGCCGTCTTGGTGGCCTTGTGGGCCGTTTTCAGTTACCTCGGGTCGTCTGGGGGCTACGCTGGGCCGTCTCGGCGCTCTCTTCGGCTGTCTCGGCGCTCTGTCTGGGCAGTCTTGGAACATTTTGGAGGCTCCGGAGGCCCCTGGGGTGGGTTTGGGAGCTCGCCCCCACCCTCTCCCGCCCCCCTTCCCCCCTCTGGTCGGATTTCGGACCCTGCAGGCGAGGGGGGAAAGCGGAGGAGGACGGCCGAATGCCTCACACACCTTCTCACCCCTGGCGGGCGGGGGTCCGCGGATGAATGACTGTGGTGGTCGCCGTTCCCTGGCCTTCCAGAGAGCTATTTTTTAGCACTGGAGACCTACAAACCTAAAAAGCTGAGCGAAACAGCCTAAAACCAAGACGTAGAGTAGCTTTGGGATAGGTTTTTAAGTCGGGTGCTATTTTTTTGCCCTCCTGGAAGGTCAGGGTTCGTCCCCCCCTTGCCTGGCCTGCCCCCGGCCACGCGTGCCACGTGAGCACCGGACGCCCGCCGTTACGCGGCGCTGGTGCGCGCGCGCACAGTGCGCACAGTTCCAACCTACTTTTAGCCTCGAGCACCAGAAATAATTTCGAGCGCCAGAAGAAGAGTACCGAAGCTCGAGGGTGTTCGCGTGTCGGGCCCTGGGAGACACTCGTCCGACACTGCTTCGACACTCTTTCGACACTTTTCTGGGTGCTCGAAAGTATTTCTGGGATGTGGTCCTTAAGTACGGTGGGAGCAACATGAGTCCTCGCACGCGTTCGTGCACGAGGAGCGCACTGGGACGCACCGCGCACGATTGTCGAGGTGCTCGAAATTATTTCTGGGATGCGGTCCCTAAGTACGATGGGAGCAACAGAAGTCCTCGCACGCGGTCGTGCACGAGGAGCGCGCTGGGGCGCACCGCGCACGAGCGTCAAGGGCTCGACTCTGGCAGGGGGAGGCCAGGGCTCGACGGCGCGCGAAGTGCGTTCTTGTGAAATCTCTTCGCGCGTGTACGTAGGTTCGATGCGCACACGTGTATGAAAGGGTGTTTGTAGCTACTCCTGATTTCGTGGTAAAGGGAGGGGGGTCTCATTTCGGGGGGGGGGTCTCTTCCAGGCTATCTTGGAGGGCCTGGGGGGGTCTGGGGACGATGTTTTGGGGGGTACCCCCACGGGGGAGGTCTGAAATGGCTTGCCTTGGAGGGTCCAGACCCCCTCCCTTTTATTACGAAATCTGGAGTAGCTAATTATGCATGTGTGAATGGATGTCTGTGCCTGTGCGTGTGTATCACTACGCCCCCCTATCCGGCGGTGTATCGACCTCGGGGTGAACCTCCCCTTTCGCAAAAACCACTGAGAGCAGCGGAGCGATGTCTCGAATTTCACGCGCCAGATCGGTCTGGCAGCCAAGTTCGGACAAGCAGTGGCAGTCCGGAGGGGGTGGGGGTGGACATCGCCCTCCGGAGAACCAGCCGATACCTCGGAAGCCACCCTCGCGCGGACCCAGGCGGGCGTTGAGAACCAGCATCATGGCTGGCCGAGCCGCGCCCGACGCGGGAGCTGCGCGGCTGCCAGCTTTCAAGCTCTTGCGAGGCGTCTTGGCTTGCCTACAGGCCCACCAGAGATTGTTATGATAATTTTTATTTGGTTTGCACGACATGTTTTTAGAGCATGTCTGGCTGAGACCGTCCTGTTTTAGATTACCGATTTAGCGCATGTTATCCAGGGTGGACCCCAAACACAGATTCCTTGCAATCTCTGCGGTGACATCTAGGTTCTAGGTGGTGCAATCCAGATGGTTCAGTCCGTGTGGTGCAATCGATGCGGCGCAAAGCAACGGAAATCAACAAAACGCAATTGAATTCAGCGCAAATCAACGAAAGCAGTTCAAACCAGCGGAAAGCAATGCCAAGCAATGCCAAGCAAGGCAATGCAGCGCAATGCAAAGCAATGCGAAGCAACGCAGGGGCAATGTAATACGATGTAACGCGATGCAATAACCCCCTGCCCCGGATAAAACAGTACCCCCCTTAACCCCCTGAATATGTATTATCCTCGTGCCAATCGAATTTGATTGTGGAGAGGGGCGGCGAGGCCGAACTTGACAATCCCCGGGGGAGGTTGCGAATCGAAGTTGCTATCATCTTATGTTACAGTGCGAGCCAGTGCAAAGCTTAAGTCGGGCCTGTCCCCCTACAGGGGGATTCTCAGCGAAAAATTAAAAATACCCCAAACAGAATCCAAAAAGAGTCAAACAATAGTATGGGGACTATTTTTTTTGGTATTTTTGATTGTTTTTTGGGTGTTCCGTTTTTTTTATTTTTCGTCGAAGATCCCCCTGTAGGGGGACACGCCCGACACGATGCAAAGCAATCCAGAGCAGCGCGAAGCGATGCGACGCCTGCGACGCCTGCGACGCCTGCGAGGCGGACGGGGGGCGTGCGGCGGGGCCTGCCGCGACGGACGGGAACGGGGTCGCCGGGCCCGCAGACGGATGTTCGATCCCGGAGAAAAAAACATCGGGGGCCCCCAAACGGTGCGGTGACCACACCGTGCGGTGAGCCAGTGGGGATTCGGGGTCGCTGCACGGTTTTGGGGCTCGGGTCGTTCTCCGAGGACGTCTCGGGCGACCTGGGCATCCGAGGTCCCAAGACCGTGCGGTGACGGACCGTGCGGTGAGGTCTCTCGGGGTTCCGAGGTCACCGCACGGTCTGTCACCGCACCGTTTCGGGACTCCAAAAAAAAATCCGCAGCGGACGAGAATCGGGCCGCTGGGCTCCTCGCACACGGGCAGAACTCCTCAGAAGAGAAGCGCGCACCTGTAAGTGCAAGCGTTGTTTGGCGAAGTGTGGTCGCGATGAGAACATCTCGTTAGGTCCAGGAGAACTTGTCGTGGTAGGCCGATGGGGATGCCGGGACGGTCGGTGCCTGCCCCGAGCTTGCGCCAGCGGTGCTGCCCCATGCCGTCCAAGCAGCCGCATCGGCTCCGACGCGGGCCAAGAAGGCGCCTGCTGCCTAGCCTTAAGTCGGGCACGTCTCTCTACAGGAGGAATCTTCAAACATAATCGAAAAGTACCCCGGGAACGATGCTTCGACTATGTCTGGCTGTGTTTTATGTTTCTTCAACATCCGCCTGTAGGAGCACATGCCCGAGTTAAACCTACGGTAGGTTCGCGTCGTTTCGACCCCGCCGCTGGCGTTCAACGTTGAACGCCGAAGACCCAGAATCGGTCAATGTTGAACGAGCCGACGCTTCGGCAACGCCCGATCGTTCCAGGCGGAGCGACCTCCGAGGCGCCGGAGACCAAGAGCGTGTTTCTTTATATTGCTCGGGGCATAAGAGGGCATTACAGCCCCCGGCCCCCCCTCCCCCCCCCTACAACGTGACGCCCCTCCCCCCCCCCCCAAGTGCGCTCCGGGCACTGCCGCCGTGCGCCTCGGGCCCACGGCGGGGGGGAGGCGTATACTACACACCCCCCCCGTGCCCCCTTCCCCCCCCCCTTTCATAATGCCCAGCACATCGCCGAAAATGCAAAAAACAGCGCGCTCCAACGCCGGGGTCGACACGACGCGAACCCGCCGTAATTAGCCTCACGAGCCCCCCCCCCCCGCGGAGCCATGTCCCGCCAGACCGCGCCGCCGCCCTCGTGCGCTGGCGCTCCTCGCCGCGTCTGGGCGGCCCCTCCCACGCCTTCGTGTCCCCGGCCCCACGCCCGGCTCCGTCGCGGGCCGGGCGCCGCCCCTCAGAGCGAGCCATTCCTCCCCCTCTTCTCTCCTCTTCCTCTTCCTCCTCATCCTCCTCCTCCTCCTCCTCCACCTCCACCCCCTCCTCCTCCTCGTCCTCCTTCTACGCCTTCTCCTCCCTCCTCTCCTTCTCCTCCTCCTTCTCCTCCTCCTCCTCCTCTACGCCCTCTCCGCCTCCTCCCTCCTCTCCTCCTCTCTCTCTCTACTACTACTACTTACTACTAACTACTACTACTACTACTACTACTTACTACTACTACTACTACTACTACTACTGCTACTACTACTACTACTACTACTACTACTACTACTACTACTACTACTACTACTACTACTACTACTACTACTACTACTACTACTACTACTACTACTACTACTACTACTACTACTACTACTACTACTACTACTACTACTACTACTACTACTACTACTACTACTACTACTACTACTACTACTACTACTACTACTACTACTACTACTACTACTACTACTACTACTACTACTACTACTACTACTACTACTACTACTACTACTACTACTACTACTACTACTACTACTACTACTACTACTACTACTACTACTACTACTACTACTACTACTACTACTCGTCCTCCTCCTACGCCTTCTCCTCCTCCTCCTTCTCCTCGTCCTACGCCTTCTCCTACGCTTTCTTCTCCTTCTCCTCTTCCTCCTCCGCTTCCTCCTCGATCGATCTCCAGGCCTCCCAGGATGGGGTCCGAGCGGATGGGGTCGGAGGATAGCGCCGCATCGCCGATGCATCGGAGTTGCGGCTCGATGTGGAGCCCGATGTTCTCCACGCCGACGGCGCGGATGCGTCGCCGCTGTCGCCGATGCATCGGCGATGCATCGCCCATGCATCGGTGATGTGGCGCCACCCTCCGACCCCATTCAATTCTTTGAACCCCATCCAGGAGGCCTCTACGATTGGGGCTGCTGAGGCAGATCCCGCTCCGCTGACCTATCGCCCGTCGATCGGGACTGCGGCGACCGAGTCGATTGTGTACCAACGGGATGGCCCACGCCGTGGGACGGATCGGACGTGCTCGATCAGGATCGGGTCAGCTTGCATCGTCGGGGTGCCTCTAAGGTGATGATGTTTCAACCTACTTTAGCCTTGCTCACCGGAAAGAATTTCCAGAAAAGCACCCAAAAGCTTGACGGTTTTCACGTGTCGGGCCCTGGGAGACACTCATTCGACACTGTTTCGACACTGTTTCGACACTTTTCTGGGTCCTCGAAATTATGTTTGGGTTGTGGTCCTTAAGGACGATGGGAGCAACTTAGCTCTAAGGTACAGTCGCGTGTGGTGATGCAGTCCGGCTCGGGCGAGTACACCGGCTTCGTGCCCGACATGCAGCGGCGCGTGCTGATGAACCTCATCGTCGTGGCCGTGTGCGCCGTGTCGGCGCTGGTGGTGCTGGGGGGGTACGCGTTCTATCCAGCTGCCTGCGGCAAGCCCCGCAACCGTGCCAGCGCAGCAGCGCAGCCTCCTCCTCAGCTGTTTTTTGTTTCTCCATTTTCCTCATCTTTTTCCTCCTCCTCATCCTTCTCGGGGGGGCGCGGCGGTGCGTGCCGCGTGCGGAGAACGCGCCGATGGGCGCCCTCCGATCGCGCGGCCCTCGCGGTGCGCCCGGCGGCTGCTTCCTGCAGTGCTTGGTCCACCAGCGGCGGCCGTGTGTAGATTAGGGGACCCCCCTGGCGTCGCCTCCGGCGCCGCCCCTGGCGTCCAGCACCGATCCGAGAAATCCGCGCGGACCTCCGAGTTGTTATGTTTATGCCACTTTTTGTTCCCCTATAGATTGGCCTCATGGGAGTTGCCCGTTTCTCGTGCGTGGGCCTCGCATTTCCGTCCTCCTCTCCCGCCGCATCCCTGTTACCTTCTTTGTTGAGCCCAGGGCCACTGCGCATTGTTCGGTTTCTATTCGGTCTCATTGAGGTGGATCGCTACTTCTGGCGCGCCCGCGACAGGCAATCGTTTATTATTTTGCGAGCGCCGTGAAAACAGCTTGCATGCGACAGCAGCCCCCAAACAGTCCAAGCGATCTTCCTCGCTTGCCCTGGGGGGCAGGCGAAAATCTCAAACGCACGCCGATACCCAGGGAACCGTGACATCCCCAAAACGTCCCCAAAACATCCCCAGTGGCCCTGCTTAGCTGCTCTGTCGTCATGGAGGTTTCTTTGGCCGTCTGCGAGCGTTCTTATGGCCTTTTTGAGGGCCTCTTGAGCCATCTTGGGGGCGTCTTGTGTTGTCGGAAGCCCAGAGATGGGACCCCGAAAATTCATTGAAAACCAGATTGAACTCCAGTGGCTTTGCACCGCGTTGAAGCCCTCTTGGGCTGTGTCGGGGACCTCTTGGGCCGTCTTATGGTGTTTGGCCCGCCTCGTGCCTTCTGAAAGGGGCCTCTCTGGGCCGTCTCGAGGTCCTCTTGGAGCGCTTTCGGGTCGTCATGAAGGTCTCTTGAGCCGTCTTGGGGCCCTCTTGGGGCCATCTTGGGGGCCTCGTTGGCCAATTGGGCCGTCTTAGAAGCCTCTGGGGCCGTCTTGGGTTGTCGGAAGCCCGAAAGGCGGAAACGTGGAAAAGCATGGGAAAACACACTGAAAGTCGAAGATTCGGCTTCTTCGGGCCCCGCCTGGAGGACCTCTTGAGCCTTCTTGGGCTGTATGGGGGGGCCTCTTGGGCCGTCTTTGGGCAACCTTGGGCCACCTTGGAGGCATATTGAGTCCACCTTGGATCCTCTCCACCGTCTTGGCGCCGTCTGGAGGCCAAACCGCGCGTCGAGAAGCACCGCCCCCCAGGTGGGTGAGTTTCGAGGTGCGGCTGTGGAGAGCGCATGGGATCGGCACCAGCAAACACTCACGAGACGTTTCCAGACGACAGGCACGACGGACAGAGCGAGGTGCACTGCCGTGTTTTTATACTGTATGTTTAGAATCAGATTATCAAACATCCTATGTATGTAAAATCCGATGTGAGTACATGAATTCATCATGAATCAAACATCCTATATGTTTAAAGCATCCGATGTCTTCAAAAACTGCCCTGTACGAGCGATGACGCTCTTGGTGGGGCGACGCCCTCTTGGGAGGTGTCCCAGCGGAGGCGTGCAGCCCGGCCAGGCCGGCGTAAAACGCCCCCCCACACTAGTTCCTGTTCATTCTGAACAGGACTCGCTGTCCGCGCCGCCGCGGCCTGTGCCCATTCGAGACAGGAGGCCGCCCGCCCAACAGCGGCCGCTGTTGGTTTGGGACAAAATTTGCTGCTGGGCATAGTACCCATTTTTTCGGTACCCATTTCGGGCGTCCAAAATATCCCCCAAGAGTCGAGCAGTGGCGAAGCGTCCCGGCTCGCCTATAGCCCCGCCAGACAATGTTCTGAGATCTGTTTTTGGTTCCCACGAAATGTTTTTAGAACACTTCTGGCTGGGAGCGGTGTGTTGTTGTATCACATCGGGCTTATGGTCTAAGAACATGGTGTTTCTTCTTAGAACATTTTGGGGTTCTGAGGACATTTCGTGGTAGGACTATAGGAATGCCGGGGCGGTCGGTCCCTGCTCAAAAGAGGCACCCCCAAAAAAGTGGGCCAAGAGGCCGAGAAGTCCAAGAGGGCTCCAAGAGGGCCCCAAGAGCGTTCCAGGAGAGCCCAGACAGCCCGAGAGCATTCCAAGATGGCCTCAGATGTCCTCGAGATTGTCCAAGGGGGCATCGAGACGGCCCCAGCGGCCCTCAGGAGATCCCCCGCAAGGGCTCGAGGAGGCCCAACAACGCTGATGTTGCTCAGGTGGTTTTAAAGTTGGTCAGGGTTCTCACCTTTTCGGACGTGCGACGGCCCGGGACGGCGCAGAGGGCCTCAAATATCGCCACAAGACGTCCCAGGAGGCCCCAAAGGGGGACCCGAGACGGCCCAGGAAGGCCCCAGGACAGCCCAAGGGGGACCCAAGAGGTTCCCAAGAGAGCCCCAAGAGGGCCCCTAAGATGCCCCCAAGAGGACCCCAGAAGAGTCCCAAGAGGGCCCCAAGAGTGCCCCAAGACAGCCAACCCCTGCAAGAAGACCCAAACGGTCCCCAAGACGGCCCAAAAGGCTCCAAGACGAGCCGCAAGCTACCCCAAAGGACCCCCCAGAAGACCCTGAGAGGCCCAAATCATAGATTTCCGTAGTGTTGTTGGCGGGAGGAGTCCTTGAATTTGTTGACAGAACGGTGTATGATGGGAGGAGGTCTTGAACACCGCCCGCAGGCAGCCCAATAAGGGACGCAATGTTGACGCCACGGCTCCAAAGAAATCCCTAGTACGGAACCCACATGTTTGGGCCAGTCGGCAGTGCAAAAATCTCTGGACGCCAAGTCTCCCAATAGCTCCCAATGGCGTCAGAAGCTCTGAACGCCAAGGCTCCCAGTACGAACAATGACGTGGACAGCTTGTCTCGCCAATGCTTTCCGTACTCTGGATGGGTTTTTTCTTATCAAGGGGGGGTGATTAGTTAACCTCCCGACTGAGCTTGCCTAATCCCACCCCCTCCGTCCTCCTCCCCCCTCCTCACCCTCCTCCTCTTCCTCCAACCCCCCCCCCCATCCACCCGTGCCGACAGCACGTGCCCAACCCCCCCAGCGGATCCAAGAGGGGGCGATTATTGCCCCATCCAAAGTACGAACGATGACGTAAACAGCTCGGAACGCCAAGGCTCCTAGTGCGAAGGATGACGTGGAAAGTTGTTATCGCCAAGGCTCCCAGTACGAAAGATGGCGCAAAAGAGATCTGAACGCCAAGGCTCCCAGGAGTGCACGGTGTCGTGAGCCGTCTCGAGCAACTTCCTGAGAGCGCTCTGTCCGTTACCCTGCTGGCGCAGGTTCTGTTACGCCCGAGTGTGCACAAGGCACGGTGGTGTTCGTCCTCCGTCATCAGTACCTCCTCCTCTTCCTCCTCCTCCTCCTTGTGCCTGTCCTCTTCCTCGTTGTCCTCCTGCTCCGCTCGCTGCCCTCCCCGTCATCCACGCTGTCACCCTCGTCATTCGCCGCCGTGTCGTCGCCATCATCCTAGTCTTCTCGTTCCCTCACAAGCCCACTGGACAAAATTGTCGCTTCCCGTTCTTATCCGATCAGATTGTAACACGCCCCAGCGTGCACAAAACATGGTGGCGGATTTCTTCCCCAAGCTTGGCGGCGGCGGTGGCGGCGCATCGCCCGTGGGGGACATCAATGGCGCGGCCGTCCCGCTGAAGAAGTGGGTCGCCGGCCACAAGGATACCGGGGGCGGCCAAGAGGGGGTGATAATTAGACAGGGTGGATATCATGGCCTGGGCCATGATACGTCTCCTGACTTCATGGCCTCTTCTTCTTTCAATAGTTGCTTTGGCCCGCTCCCCTCGTCTGCGTACGGGCCTCGTGCCACGAGTAGCGACCCCCGCCCTCTCGGACGCACCCCTCCTGGCCTCCCCCCGAGGATAACGACCGTGAGCTGGTGCAGGGCCTCAAGGGTGATGCCTACTACCTCATCTCCACGCCCGACGGCATCAAGGACTTCGCGATCAACGCGACCTGCACTCACCTCGGATGCGTGGTGCCGTGGGTCCGCTCCGCGAACAAGTTCTGCTGCCCCTGCCACGGCTCGCAGTACGACGAGAACGGCAAGGTCGTCCGCGGCCCTGCGCCCCTGTCCCTGGCGCTCGCGCACACGTCCGTCCTCGAGAGCGGCGACATCGCCGTGGCCCCGTGGCCCGAGCAGGACTTCCGCACCGGCCTCGATCCCTGGTGGAGCTGAGCGCCCCACGGCATCAACCAGCGAGGGCGGTGCTCATCCTTCCGGGATGTCGTCGCTCGTCTGGGCGCTCTGCGCACTTTGTTTAGCTTGCAAGGCCAAGCGGCGAGTAGCCGCTGCCTGCCGATGCTCGTGCGGCTTCCGATTTTAAGCGAGTCAGGCGTTGCTGACCGGTCCAGTGAGCCATCCGCTTCTCCTCCCCCACCCTCCAACTGCCTCGTCTTCCCTCCTCGATTATCCCCTCCTCCTCCTCCTTCTCCCCCTCCTCCTCTTCATACCTACATCCTCCTTCTGGTATTGATCCTCGCACTTCTCCTCCATACTTCTCCTCATCCCCTCCTCTTCCCCTCTCCACCTCTGCCTCCTCCCTCCGCCTCTTCCTCTCCCGATCTCCTCTTCCCTGCTCCCCGCTGTCCGTGCTCCTCCCCCCTTACCTCTTCGTCCCACCACCCTCCTCCACCCGCCCCCATCCTCCGCATTTTGACCCTCCTCCTCCTCCTCCTCCTCCTCCTCCTCCTCCTCCTCTTCCAGCTCGCCGGTCCGCTCAAACATGGAAGTCAGCAGGGTGCGGTTGCCCAAGCTGCTGGATCCAGCGCGGAGCGCCGATGAAGCCTGGCCGCTGCCCCGGGCCAGAGGGGCCCAGGCGCGCCGCGCAACAGGCGTCACGTGACGTCAGAGAGGGGCTGGCAGAGCACTCTGAGCACCCCCTCGTGGTGCGTGCGGTGCTTGGGGGGAGGGCCCTTTCGGGTGCAGTCGAGCCCTGCCGAGAGAGAGAGAGAGAGACAACAAAAGGACACCTCGCGCTCTGGCCACAAACCGAGTCAGCCAGCCGGAGATCCTCCGCTGCGCCGTTCTTGAGTCGCACGGCGGCTGTGGCAAGTCAGAGATCCGACCTCCACACACCCCGATCCGACCCGCGCCGCGCAAGGGAGCGCTGAGATGTTCATAGGATGCGGTCAGCAGGTTGCGACACATAATCAGTGCGCAGTGCATGGCACGTGACAGTCAGGGACTGCATGGCCTGCTTGGCAAATAGGCCCATGCGAAACTTATGATCCGCACCACAGTGGTTCGTCCCCTCGCGACGTCCTCCATCTGGTCTATATGGTCATTGATCAAGACATCCAGCCGCCATCTGATTGTTTGCGAGACTATGAGGGTGTCGAGTCGCGATGGAGCTAGCATCAGGAAGAATATCAACTGATGTTCATGCTCACCACAAGCGTGTTCTGAAGTTGGCTACCACAGTCTCGGCCTCCACAGGTTCCACCTGAGCTGCAATCTCCACAGCAAGCACGGCATCTTCGCGTAGATGCATGCCAGCTTACGTCAAGAACTCCGTTGGCGAGGTGAAGGTCCTTGACCTCGTTGATTGTCGAGGCAATTTGGTATTACTGTGAGAGTCCTACGCCCTCCAAAGTTCACATGCCAGAGGGAGGACTCTATTGTATTTTATTGCCTCAGCTTTTCCAGCGGTCTTCTAAATCAAGGATAACTTGGCGTTCAGCTCGCTTCAGAGGGTCGTGTCCTCGACTGCGCTACCTCACACAACGGGCAAACCCTCGTGGATTCAAGTAATTACTAACGAGGCTGCCGTCAGGGTTGCCAACATTGCAGCCAGATGCGCTACATGCCTGGAGCAGTGACACCTGCACACATGGCGACGCTGAACCATGATTCTGAAGTGTCGTCAGCTAGTCACCGTGGCTGGAGGAGTGCCGCAGAAACGTTTCAGGCATCGTACGCCCACCTGGGCACTTCGAGGTCTCAGAAAGTGAGGCCAACGTGGCTCTGAACGCTTCATCCGCGGAGCATCATACGGACGAAGCCTGCGTAGCCCGTCGCCAGCTACAACGCGTTGTCTCCAGTGTGCGCGACAGACAAGGGCACGCCGAGGCAGCGGGTTCTCGCTGCAGGGCCAGATGGGTGGGCGGCGAAGCCGGCTGCACCTCTCAGCTACAAGGCTCGGACCCGTGCGCGCGAGAAGGGTTTCGGTGGCAGCGGGCAGGCAGGTGAGAGCAAGGCGCAGCCCCTCGGTGCGTGATCATTCTCGTTGCTGTCACGGGCCAGCGGTGGCGACACGCAGCTGCTTTGCAGTATTTCAGTGCGCGTGTCACTTGTTCGCTGCCAGTGCTTGGCGAAGTATCGGTTCGTGGGATGTGGACGTGCTGGCCGTCCGCATTCTGGATCGAGCATATTTTGTGGTGGCCTTGGTTCTCACGGATGTTGAAGTTTGCTTTCGCTTTATCTGTTTGGGTGGGACGTGCCGGCCGTCCCAGTTCTGATCCGTGCATCAGAGGATGGTGGTTTCAATGGGACTTGATGCTATGTTTTAGGCTACAGCCTTGTTACAGTCGGCCCGGATTCGTAGGTCGACCCTGCCAGCTCAAGGGTACCCTTGTGTCCTGTGCCTCGCGACACGTGCCTTCTTACACTCCTATGGCGATGTGGCCCTCGGAAGGGTATTGTGTCCTCTCGCGTGTCCTGTCCAGTCAAGGCCGACTGTATCATGTGTGTTTTGGCCGAGTGGCCCGTGCATAGTGCCACGGCCGTTCAACTTGGACAGATTTGGAGGAATGATGTTGTTCCATGTGTTCTGGCAGTGGGGAGGCTGGCTGCTGGGGAGGCGATCTCCTTCGAGGTTGCCCGTTAATCTGAGGTGTATTGGTATAGGGGGCCGAATCGAGTTGAACACATCTCAGCTTAGCTTGTTGGTTTTCACGTGGTGCAATGGCTTTGGGCTCAATTCACGTGTCGCACCTCACGTATTACTTGGGCCTTGCGTTGCATCTCCTCGGGCTCATTCTGCCGCGTCTCCTGGTACTTCACCTTCGCGTTCGTCGGGTATCTCGACGAGTTTAGTGGGTGGCATCTGGTGTTTATCGACTATGTCGAATCGCTCGTTTTCATTATCGTTTTCCTCCTCCTCCTCCTCCTCCTCCTCCTCCTCCTCCTCCTCCCCTCTTTCTCCTTACTGTGCTCGTCCTGCTCCTCATCCTCGGGCCCCCTCATACTCTTGCGCCCCCCCATACTTGTCCTCATCACTCCCTCCCGCGCGCGCGGGGAGCGGGAGGAATACTGTCGGCACGAAGCATCAGTTCGAGGTCGGTTCGTGGGGGGTGCCCTTCTGTTGTGTGTGTTGGATGTTCTTGTGTACCCAGGGCACCCTCGAGGATGGTGTTTTTGGGGGCGTTCCGGCCGGCCGAGGGTCTCATGTTCTCGAACGATGTTCTTCTGTCCTAGGGTCCGACCGTCGCGGGAAGAAGAGAGGACACGAATGATCGATCATCGTTGCCACTTCAACACGTTCTGCCGCGCACAGAGACGGCAAGCAGTCACGTTGCATGAGAACACACGTGCGATCGCTTCCTTATTCATTGTTTTGCCGATCGGCGCGGGCCCTCGCACCCCCCCCCTCCCATCCCCCCCCTCTGGAGTAGCTCTTGGCTGTTTTTGTCGCCTGTTTCGAGTTTCGAGCAGATGGAGTCCCCCCCATAGGGCGCACTGCTGCAAACAGTCGCAGTATGCAGAGGCCCGGAGCCAGCCCCCCCCCCCTTTCCGCCCAATGTCGAAACGCCGAATAAGTAAACGTTCACCCTCGTGGGCCAACATCGAAAAGGGCTCGCTTGGCCTGGGTGGTCTTTGCTGCTCGGGCCGGAGAAAAAGGGGGGGGGGGGATTGGGAAAGGGGGGATACATGGCCGCGGGAGGCGCCGGTAAAATCAGCTACGTGAGCCGATTCTCAGAGCCCCCCTTTGCTATCCCCCCCTTTCGCCCGACCCGGGCTGCGAGGAGCCGAGCACGGCAAGGCAGGGGCAGGGGACGCAGCGGCGCGCCATGGCACGCCACGGCACGGCACATCCGGTGCACAGTAGGACTCGGGCGCGGCACGGCCCGCGGGCAGCACGCTGCACGGCACACATGATTCGCACTCTCTGGTATGTATGTATGTATGTATGTACGCATGTATGTATCAATGTATTCATGTAGTATGTCTGTATGTATGTGCAGTATGCATGTATGTATGCATGCATGCATGTATGTATGTATGCAAATACGTACGTACGTATGTATGTATGTTTGTTTGTCGTTTGTATGTATACATGTATGTATGCATGCATGTATGCATGCATGTATGTATGTATGAATGACTGTATGTATAATTGGATTCAATTATGTGTATATATACCTATATATACATCGTCTGGGTGCGCTTTGGCACGCGGGCGCGGTACGGGACACGCTTCGCATGCCGGAGCCCACGGCACGGCACGGCACGGCACGCGGGCACGGCGCGGCACGGCGCGCGACGCCTCCTGCGCATGCCAGGGTGCTGGGGCACGGCACGCGGGCACGGCACGGCACACGCGCACACACACACACACATATATATATATATATATATTCATACATACATACATACATACATACATACATACATACATACATACATGCATGCATGCATGCATGCATGCATGCATGCATGTATACATACATACATACATACATACATACATGCATACATGCATGCATGCATACATACATACATATATACATATGCATATACATATACAGATACGTATACATACATATATATATATATATATATATATATGTATACATATATGTGTGTGTATTGCATGCATTCTGGAACCTGGGCACGGCACCGCACGGCACGTGCTTCGCATCCTCGAACATGGGCGCGGCAGGGCACGCGGGTTTTGACTTGGCATGGCACAGCACGTGTTTCGCCTTCTATATGGTTTAGACGCGACGCGGCACAGGGGCTGCATTTGTCTGGTATTCTGTGTTAAGTGGTGCAGACTTGTTCAGAGTTTCATTGAAAGGAGCCTCTTTTTCGACCCTCTCCCTCCCAGCCGTAACAACGAGTCCCGTGGAGAACTTGTACTGAATTTTCACGTCGCCGACGGCATCGACGACGACGAAAGGGACGACGACGACGGCGACGACGACGACTGCGATGACGTTGGCGACGACTCTAACGACAGCGACGGCGACGACGGCGGTGGTGACGACGCCTGCGGCGGCGACGATGTCGACAATTACGACGACCACGACGACGGCGACGACGACGATAACGGCGACGACGATGACGACAGCGCCGACGAGGACGACGACGACGACGACGACGACGACAGCGACGATGACGGCGGCGGCGGCGGCGACGCTGGTGGTGGCGACGGCGACGATGACGATCACGACGCCCACGACGACGACGACGACGACGACGACGACGAAAGCGACCACGACGACGGCGACGGCGCCTCTCAGGCGCTCCGCAAGGCCAGCGAGCAGAGCAGGGCCTCGCACGAGGAGCGGATGCAGCGACACGCCACCAGGACGCCCCGCCTGCAGCCTCGGGGAGGGGAGGCGGCACTGAGCTCACTGAAGGACAAGATCCGTTGCAAGCATGCCGCGGAGGCGGGAGGACCCAACCTCCGCTGGAAGCGGGATCGACAGAGAGGGGGGCGAGGCTCAGGGGGATGCACCCTCGCACCCCAAGCCCCCTCACCCACCCATGATGCACGATATCCCCATGGATTTGCCATTCCAGCGATAGCCCCCTTCTTAAAAATACGTGCGCGCCTCAAGAAGTGCCACGCGGGGCGGTTATGGGGTATAATGGAATATTCAGGGGGGGCGATTTTGACACTGATCTGTTAAGGAGATAAGTCGACGACGCTGTGGGGGCTCACTTCCTAAACTTCCAAGGGTTCTCCTGAACTTGTTTTTCTTATCAGAAAGAGGAAAAGGAGGAGGAGGAGCAGCAGCAGCAGCAGAAGGATGAGGACGAGGAAGAGGGCGACGAGGGGGAGAGAGGAAGGAAGGAGGAGCGAGGGAGAGGAGAAGGAGGAGGAGGACAAGGGAGGAGGAGGAGGAGGGAGGAGGAGGAGAGCGGAGAAGGAGGAGGAGGAGGAGGATGCGGGAGGAGCGAAAGGATTGGGAGGCTCCTCTCCTCCTCCTCCTCCTCCTCCTACTCCTACTCCTCAGTCTCCTCCTTCTCCTCGTCCTCCTCCTCCTTCTCGTCCTCCTCATCCTCCTCCTCTTCCTCCTCCTCCCGCCTCCTCCTCCTCCTCCTCCCCTCTCCCTCACTCCTCCTCGTCCTCCTCCTCGTCCTCCTCCTCCTCCTCCTAGTCCTCTTCCTCATTCTCCTCCTCGTCCTCCTCCTCTTCCTCCTCCTCCTCCCGTCCCTCCCGCCCCCTCCTCCTCTCCCTCACTCCTCCTCCTCCTCCTCCTCCTCCTCCTCCTCCCTCTTCCTCCTTCTCCTCCTCCTCCTCCTGCTCCTCCTCATGTTCCTCCTCCACCGTTCCTCATCGTCATCCCTTCTCCACGCTACCTACCTTCTCCTCTCCTTGCCCTTTCTCTCTTCTCGCTGGGCTGCTTCGTTTCTGGCAGCTAACCGGGGGGCGCATCTTGCCGCAGCTGCTGGGGCTTCCAGTGTGGTTCCCGAGTGGGGCCACGAAACGTGTGAGCGGTGTGCCGCAATGGGTGTGGGTGACACATGCGGTCGTTGCCTCTGAGGTTTTAGGTGGATCTCTCTTTGGGACCACGAAGCGTGTGAGGGGTGTGTCGATACATGTGGCGGGGACGCATGTTGTCGCAGCCACCGTGGCCTTCTGGGGGCGGTCTGGGGGCATCATTGGGGTACGTTGGCGGCTATATTGGGCCATTTGGGAGTAGAATGGGGCCAGGGGCCATCTTGGATACCATCGTTCCTTCATGTATGGCCCCTTTGGGGTCATCTAGGGTATCCTGGACGCTCTGACCCTCGCCCCTCCCCCCCCGTTCAGACCCAGAGGAGGGGCCAGGGGTAGAAGTAAATCCGTCCCCAGGCGAGGAAACGCATGGGTTTTGGAAGAGGGAAGCAAACAACTCGTTATACGACCTTCGCCCCAGGTGGGAGTTCAGTCTCAAGCGAGAGCCCCAGTTTGAGCATGAACCGCCCTACATCCGCGGAACTGTTGTGCAAACTCGAGCTGCTGGTCAGACGGTGTCAAGAAGCCTCAAGCGAGAGACCCGTTCAAAGCAGTTGCCACCCTCCATCCCCGTAACGTCTGGAGACCTGGACTGTGTAGAGTCGAATGCGCGCGGCGCGAAGGCGGGAGCCAGATGTTGAGAGCGCACATCCCTCTTCTGCGGCGGGCGCGCTTGGCGATCGGGCGACGTCTGCTTTTTGACAATGGCCCGCCTTCCATCCTTCGAGCGGCTGGGGAAGTCTAAGACGAGAGTGCGCGGCGCAGAGGCGCGAGCCGCATGTGGGAAACGGCCCGCCTTCCAGCGCTGCAGCTGCTGGGGCGTACCGAGGACTCCTGCGGCGAATCTCTGCCGCCCCCCTGCCGTTCTAGAAGTGCCGATGCGGCCAAACGCTGTGGCAAAGCTTGTCCGAGCTGTTGGAAGAGGTGTCTCCCCAGCCGTGGTGGAGCCCTTTGGGGACAACACTGCGGAAGGAAGAGAGATGAGGAGGACGAAGAGGCCCCTCGAGGCCCTCTCGGGGCACCCTGGTAGCCTCTTGGGGGCCTCGGAGGGGCCGCTTGGGAGCCCTCTGGGGCTTGTTGGGGGACTCCGCGGGCATGGACTCTTGGACGGCGTGTCGCTCCGCCGCTCCCGGCCCACCGCGCCTCGGTGCGACACGCTGTCCACTTCACGGGCCCGAGGCGCCAACGTCCCGAGCTTTCCTGGATATACCGCCCCGCGGAGCGGAGCGACGCGCTATCCGCTCGCAGGGCACAGCGTGTCGCCCGGGGCCGCCGCGGCGACACGCTGAGCGAAAGTTCCCGACCGCAGGAGGCCTCCGAGGGGCCTCCTGGCCTTCGGAGGCCGTCTTGGGGGGCCTCTCCCGACCACCGAGGGGTTCTTCGTTAGGCGCTGTGGGGCTGTCCTGGCGGTCTGTGGGGCCTTGTTGGGTGTGTGTGGAGCCGTCTTGGGGACCCCTTGCCTGTCTTGGGGCCCTCTTGCGAGCTGCGCAAGAGCTAGAGTACGCACGCCGTTTGGGTTCGCTTCATTTCGGTGATTCCGTTGTTCGTCTTCCCCCTCCATCGGCCCCCAAAGTTCCCGTCCTCCCCCCATCCTCTGAGTCCGTGTCCTCCCCGCGCCCTCTGATCACCACGCCCTGCCAAAATCGTCTCCGTCAGGTCCCACATGTTGTATGATCATACGCGCGAGTGCAACTCATTTAGTAACGGTGCCTGGCACAGCTACTTCTGCTACACTCGCCTTCGGCTCTGTCACTTGGCAAGCACGCTCGATGCTGATATTGAAGGAGGTGCGATCACTGA